ACACCCTGAATGGGATGCCAGTCTATCACAGGGCACACGGCTGGTGTACACCCTGGATGGGATGCCAGTCTATCACAGGGCACACGGCTGGTGTACACCCTGGATGGGATGCCAGTCTATCACAGGGCACACGGCGGGTGTACACCCTGGATGGGATGCCAGTCTATCACAGGGCACACGGCGGGTGTATACCCTGGGTGAGATACCAGTCTATCACAGGGCACACGGCGGGTGTATACCCTGGGTGAGATACCAGTCTATCACAGGGCACATATACAAACAAAGAAAGTGCCTTTGCCGCAGGATGGTTAATGTATGTGCGCTGCAATCGACTGGTATCCATTTTAGGATGTTACTCTGCCTCATGCCCTGTGCTTCCTGGGATAGATGCCAGACTCACCAAGATCCTGTACTATATAACAAGTTATGAAGGATGGATGGATTGATGTTCCATGCAAGTTAGAAAGGTTAATTCACCCAGACCTGGATATACCAATGCAGTAAAAAAAAATGTTTCATTTTTAATTTGTGCTGACATCCCTTTGGTATTAATCTATGATGGAATGTGAGCCATAAAGTTCTAGATTTTCATGTAAATATTTCATTTTAGCCTCAGACAACATTCCTTGATGAAAGGCGAAGCCCCTATCCAGGGATATGGGGCATGATTGGCTGACCTTCACAAGCGCCTCGAAAATTACAATCCAGATTTTTTTTTTTTAGATCAGAATTTTTTTCCTTTAATCACATTCTCATCAGGGCTACATGCCATTTCATTTGTCTTAAAAAAAATATATAAAAAAACATTTATGACATGATTTATGAAAAATAACACCAATGAAAAGAATATAAACTAATAAATTTGCCAACACGTAATAGGCTGTTAAAGTCAGGGATGATATCTAAAAGCAACATTTAATTAAATTAAAAAAAATACATAAAATATACAATAAAAATAAAAGCATTAATCACAGCGATTTTGGAGATTAGAGTTAAAAAGCACAAATTTTTAGTAAATGCAACAAGTTTCACAGTACACAGGACCACATCTGGGCTATATGTGATGGAGAGGGGTACAGTGGACACAGGGGGGGGGGCTCCCTTGTTCCAATCATTCAGGCATAGCTATACATTATGACTGTTTAATATTCTGGCAAAGCAGAATTGTAGTGATTATTTTTCATGCATAAATGTTGGTCATTGAAGCTTAATGACAATTCTAGCCCAGGCATCTGAAAAAGGTGTGAGACAGCAAAAAACCCTTAAAAATTCTATCCATTTAATGTTAAATACATTTTCTCCCTTCTTTCTCTGGACATATTATAATTATTCTCCATCATTAACTTCTTTTGGCAAAAGAAACGCAAAGCTTAAAGTCATCACAGCAGGACATTATGTATTATGCTTTAAACTGATCGTCAAGCCTTTTCTTACATGGGAAATTGGAAGACACATGATGGTGAATGAATTCTAAGCACGTTGCTTTAGTTGTAACATTAAAAAACCTGTCACTGAAGTAAATCTCGAGACGCAAGCTTACGATGTACAATCACAAAGATGATGCAACTCATACCTCAAGCCAACAGACCATCATATGCAGCTTATCACAGGCTGTGTGGTGTTGGTCTCTGGCGGGAGCAGGAGGAGAATTTGACATACATGGTCACGTGAAGAACACACCAAGGATCCTGCAAGGTGGAAACGCAAGAATGTTTACCTTACACAGTAAGTGATAAATTAATTAATGTAATCAACTTTATTTGCATAGCACTTATGACCTGTTCATTTATAGCTAATAATAAAAGCATAAAGGATTCAATGGTGCCACACTTCAACATTATTCACAGAATAGTTCAAGTAAATTGCCTCCACGAGGATTTCATAAAAAATCATAATAATACATTAAATTTATAAAGTGCTTTTCAACAACCCAAAGGCGCAAACAATATTCAAATTTACAAAGAATGACAAGGGAGTGTTAAACACAGGAGGCGTCGTGCTACAGTCCATCAATGTACAGGTAGCTGAGTCTGCGCCCCTGAGTTTCCATTCGGCAGCCCATCCAGGGAGGTCTCTCCTGCGGCAGCCCATCCAGGGAGGTCTCTCCTGTCACAGGCAGCCCATCCAGGGAGGTCTCTCCTGTCACAGGCAGCCCATCCAGGGAGGTCTCTCCTGTCACAGGCAGCCCATCCAGAGAGGTCTCTCCTGCGGGAGCCCATCCAGGGAGGTCTCTCCTGCGGGAGCCCATCCAGGGAGGTCTCTCCTGNAGCCCATCCAGGGAGGTCTCTCCTGCGGGAGCCCATCCAGGGAGGTCTCTCCTGTCACAGGCAGCCCATCCAGGGAGGTCTCTCCTGCGGGAGCCTATCCAGGGAGGTCTCTCCTGTCACAGGCAGCTTTACTACCTGCATTCCCTGAGATTTCTGAGTGGCTTCACCATTATGGCCTCGCACCTCCAGGGCAGTGGGTTCGATTTCCACTCTTTGGGGCTGTGCTTGGGGTGGAGCAGTTGTTAGCACTGCTCCCTCACACCTGTAGGACCAGGGTTTGAGTCTCTGCCAGGGTTCCACATATGTGTGGAATTTACATGTTCTCCACGTGTCGTTGTGGGATTCCCCCCCCATAGTCCAAAAACATGCTGTGGTTAATTAGCATTAGCAGAGTGCCCATGTGAGTGTGCCCTGTGATGGGTTGGCACCCCATTCTGGGTTATTACCTGACTTGTTCCCTGAGCCTCTGAGATGTGTTCCAGACCCCCTGCGACCCTGAACAGGACAAATGGTAACAGAAAATGGTTGGGTCTTGCTTGTTTGGAGTTTATATCTTCCCCATGCGGGCTTCCTCACAAGGTCCAATATCGCATATGACGCATTGAAATTGCTATTGGCATGTGATTGTGTGAGTGTGCATGCTGTGATGCACTGGGTGTCCCCAGTCTCGTGCCCTGGACTTCCTGTGGGCTCTAGCACCTCCCCCATAGCCCTGTACAGGATAAGAGGTTATGAAAGATTGATGGAAACTCAGCTGAAGGCCCAGTAAGAAAAAAAAAAAAGAGGATAAAGCCCATGTAGAGTAACATAAGCAGCAGACACCTATGGGGTTATGTTCATCCCAAGACCCACAATACAGATTCCAGATTCAATTACATTTCATATATGTGAGCATTTTATGTTTCCAAGTTATCCTTTTTTTTTTTTTTATCAGAAAGTGAAACCAAGGCCCAGACCTGACCAGCAAAAGAAAACTGAATAGGCAAAATTGTCAGTTTCAATTATACTCGGTCTGTGGGGCGAACCGGATTTACTGAGATGACTGTTATTCTCATTTCTCTCAGCCAGTATCTGTACAGAATGCAGTCTTCAATCAGCTGAAAAATAACTCTAAATTACATTCATTTTAATTATTTAAATTTAAAAATGATTAATAACCATTTAATACATTTTACCAGATTTTCACTGAATTGCAAATTTTGTTTATATTAATAAATCATTAATGGACAGTAAAAAGCTACAGTTTTAATCCAATTTCATAAGTTCCAAACATCCAAAGCTCAAACCGCCAAAATGCCACTGCCTATTTCTAAGTGGTTAAAACACTGGCAGTTGTTTCCCAGCATCCTAGACCATCAAGTCTTTGCAAAGCAACTTAAGAAACAAGATACACAAGTGAGAAATCCATCTGTATAATGGATCTTATTAATTAAAATACATTTAAATGTGATGCAAAGTGGAAGAAACCGAGAATCTTTCATATGAGCGACGTTTAAATCCATGTTTCCACAATGACCATATACACAGTTCAAAGGTCTGTGCACACGTCCAGAAAAATGATATATCAAGAGTATTTAGAAGTCTCTCACAATTTAGGAAAATATGTATGTCACAGAAATTATTTATAGTCTTTAAATACAAGCTAACGTACATTGTGTTTGCAACAACTGCTGACAAGCATTAAAAGGACCACTTCGCTATTGTTATGCAAAAGATGACCTTAACGTGCAAAACAAGCACAGATTAAATTCAAATTAAACCCACTGAAGGCCACAATCGTTTCATTTCAATGTCTGCATAATACATAAGTACATAAAAAACTCTCAGAATTAATCTGTTTTTCCAGCCTTATTAGTCATTAAAACTTTTAAGCACCTGGACCTCGCTTCCAGCATTCCGTTAATTACTGGGACAATGGAGTGGCGATGGAACCAGATTTATTAATTTATTTATTTTCAATTTCACGAGAAGGAGAAGTATGTATTCAGCAGCTTCGTGCTATGCTAGCACTTAAATGGCACAAACTCCACATAAAACAACTCAAGGTTACGTCCGATTGAAACCCCAGCCCAACCCAGAAACGAGCACTTCAGAAACCCATTTAGAGAGAGAGATGGAACATCTAATTCAAACGTCATCCTATTAAAAAAAATGGTTTCACTTGGTCTTTACAAAAATTCTTCATGTCGTTTGTCTGTCGTTCTTTGTAAGAGAGATGAATTCCCCCCCCCTCCCCCATGCAGGTTACAAACACACACAAACACACACACAAACGTATACACAACAAATGGTCTTGATGGAGTGCAGTGATTTAAAATAACGTCTGTATACAGACTGTGACCTTTTCCAGCATTCTGTGGAGAAAATACCCCTCTTCAATAAACTTGAATTGACACAAAGCGCAAACTTTGCATGCAAATAATTGCTATTAACAGACAAACATGTGCTCTGCCCCCCCCCCCCTGCTCCTATTCAACAAAGTTCTGCATATGAAAATGCCAAGCGAATCTGAGGAACGAGTCATCGTCATGCATCGATTCAAATGACATGGGCATGATTACAAGGAAAATGGTACTGAGGGAGTTTGCCATAATGATTTTAACGACAGCTCACGCAATGTTTTCTTTCTGTTTTTCTCCTTGGATGAGAAAGGCAAAATGAAGAAGGTATGAGAGAAGTAAAACAGCCCAGCGCAGTTGCAGGGAAGCCATCAGTCGTCCCTGGAGGAACAGGTGTGAATATCTCAGCCTTGTCCAAGCAAAAACTTATATAAATATTTGGACACAACTTCCTTCTCAGGAGAGGAAATAACCAGTTCTGTAGCTGCTTATTGGAGTGAAGTTTTGATTTCTTCTAGACGTCTTGTAACATATTGTAAGACCCAAATACCCCACCTCATCCTGCATTCCGATCCAAGCATGCAATAAAAACCAAAGGAATTAAAATTTTTGTGGTGATTGGAGCACATACTTTTCTAGTCAGCATACTATGAAATATCTCCCACATTTGGAGAAAAAAAAAATTGCACCTTACATGCACAAAACTGACAGGATCTAATCGATAATTAAAGGGCTTCTAACTTTGACTGACATTTCAAGAAAATGAAAATCGGCATCGGAAGACAGCGGCTGAAGTGTGTGTGTTGCGTGTGTGTATGTGGTATTTGTATACATGTATGTATATCCAGTGGTAATAACAGGAATAATATACATAACCTGAAAAGCAGTTTAACACCTCAGAAAAAGTCCAACTGATGGTCTCAGGCCCTGTAATTTCTGTCTGTCGATTGCAGACTATAAATGGTGTCACAAATACAATGTTCTTGATAAATCTACATGGAATTGCTACTCAAGGTCATTCCCACCAGCTGGTAATCAGGCTGCAGCCCTGAAACACACACACACACACACACACACACACAAAAGAGACACTGACAAGGTCTCCCCTTGCAAATACCACTGGCCTTGAGCAATGGGTCAGACGAGTCACTGACGGGACTCAGGAAATCACACCGAGCCGATATCTACGTGCAATTTACATACGAGGAACCAAAACAACAGCACTAATGTTAACGAGAAACCGAAACAACAGCACTAATGTTAACGAGAAACCGAAACAACAGCACTAATGTTAACGAGAAATCAAAACAACAGCACTAATGTTAGCATGTCTTTGGGGGACATTCCCAAGTCCTGCACTGAAAGGACATTTCATGCCAATCCCAAGACACCTCTAGTTAATTCATTTTATCCATGTAAATGAGCAAACCATCAATCTCCCGTACCTGCTCATCCAGTACAGACAGAGATTCTGGAGCCTATACCAGTAAACACAGAGCCAGGAACATTCTGGATGGGATGCCAGTCCATCGCAGGACATAGAGTGCTTTGTAAAAGTCTTAGGCAGTCAAAATGTTTCAAGTTAGTTATCTGGATATTAAGTATACATTTAATAAAATCAAATAAACATTAAAATACATGCAAATGTATATCAACACATTAAAAGCTAACAACAATCTCTTCTTTGCTCCAAAAAGTGACTGATATCTTGCTGGATGGCTAGATGAACACTGCTTCAGTTCCCAAACCTCTCCTCAGGGGCACCTCAGCCATTCCATATATTTATTAAATTTATCCTGAGAAAGTTATTAATAATCCATAATCAGGAATCAGTAAGTCATCATCTTATGACCTATAACTAGTTCAGAACGCTGCAGCTAGGCTACTAAGACAAAAACACGGGATCACATAACACCCACACTGGTCTCGTCGCCAGCCTGAGAGACCCCACCCTGAGAGACCCCACCCTGAGAGACCCCACCCTGACAGCAGCCACCTGTGGCAGGTCTCTGCCCCATCTTAAATGAAAATGGCACGTTGAACGCCAGAGCAAATCGCAGGTGAGTGCTCTGGAATCTAAGGTCTTCACAGGAGATATATTCAGGGTTAGGGTCATGGGAGGGGGGCACATATTCACACACTATACGGGCAGTTTAGAGGAAACCCACACAACAAAAGGGCCTGTAACCACCACACACACACACACACGCACACGCACACATGTAGGTTAAACATATCCTTATGGGGACCGCTCATTCATTTCAATGGGAAAAATGCTAATGCTAACTATGACAACCTTAACCCCTACCCTGCCCTAACCATAATCATAAGTAACCTAACAAAATACAAGAGTTTTTGCATTTTTAGTTTTTTCATAGCAGTCACTGATTTTTATAAAATAGAGTGGGGGACGGCGTGGGGGGGCGGACGCCCATGGAGACCCAGGCTGAGTGTGGGAGCTCGGGACTGGCAGGGTCCCTCGTGGGAAAAGCAGGAGCTACAGTATCATCCTGCATCCAGCGTGGCTTAAAGGTACCAACCCCCCCAGCCTGACTCAACAGGATGAAGAGCTAAAGATATGCATTTTTGGATAAACTGAGATATTGCTCATCCATTGTTTTTCCATGTTGGGATGATGTTATTTTAATCTGTTTCTTTCAGGATGATCATTAGATCCCATCAGGGGGCAGATTGAGGCCTATAGCCCAGTTCACAGCACACTGGCCTCAGCTTGGCGTCAATAAAGCGGCTTCTTCCCTTTGGAGGGAGTGGGGGGGGGATGACCCAGTGGCAGCAGTCATGGCCACATTGAACAGGCGCCGAGCTCTTCCACACCGCTAACAGCGATTTACGGGATAAGAGGGGGCCATGCTGGCCGGCACTTCAATCAGAGGGGTGCATCTGTGGCTGACTATGAATTACGCAGCCAGAAATGTCTACCAGTGACTAATGAACAGCCAGCTGTTTGGGGGGTGGATCACAAGACTCATTCTGCCTGTTCCCCGTTTTGCTGGTCGCTACGTTTTAGCGTTTTGTCTTCATGTCAGACCTTGATATCCCTGCAAGCGTTGGAACATGCAGTTTTTCAGGAACTTTCGACTGTCATCCCATTATGACCATGAGAAGAAAATCTCAGGGACATGTGGCCCAGATCCT